AACCCTATCATATCCCCTAGGCTAATATTTAAGGGAGCAGACAGATATCATTCTAGATAACCCCGCTCCCTCTGAAGAGAGAAGGGTGGCCTCCAGCCCCAATTTTGTTTCTCTTCCTGGGAGGAAGTGGTACAGTGAATAGAGTGTGAAGCCTGGAGTCAGGGAGACAGTTCAAATCTGTCCTCAAACACTTACTAGCTCGGTCACTCTAGGCAAGTCACTTTTACCCTCTGTTTAGCTCAGTTTCCCCAGTTGTAAAATGGGGATAATAATAGCAGCTACCTCCCAGGGTTGTTGTGAGGATCAAATGAGATAATATTTGTAAAGCCCTTAGCACAGTTCCAGGCCCATAGTAAGCATTACGTAAATGTTAGTTACTATTATTACTATTATACCTTAGAGAAGGGGAGGAGAAACTAGAGATGTGTATTCTGCCACCCTCTGAATCATACAGGACAGGCTGTGCCACAGGTGGGACCCTCTACACATGTGGTTTCTTAATCTGGGGTCCATGAATTGGCTTGGAGAGAAAAATTCTATCTTTGTTTTCACTAATCTTTGGTTTCCTTTGAAGTGCTGTGTATTTTATGCATTTGAAAACATTCTGAGAAGGGGGTTTGTCTATAGGCTTCACCAGGCTGGCCCTGGCTAGGTTATATTTAAGCTCCAGACCAATTCTAAATCCTAAAATCTGGGCCTCTCCTCCCTTCCTCCCTCTGCCTCAGGGGAAGGAAGATATTATCATCATGGCCCCTTTTTCTGGGGGTAGGAATTCTCTGCCTCCTGCCTCCCTGGTTTCTCCTCCCCTTGGATGGACAAAACTCTCCTTTCACATAGTAATAATCTAGCTATATGTTAATTTGCAAAGTGCTGTGTTATTTCTTGAGAGCCTCACAAGGGCTCTGTGAGGCAGGGCCTATAGGCCTTATCTCCATCTTATAGAAGAGGTTATTGAGACTCCGAGATGAAATGCTTGTTTCTGATCACGAGTGTGGTATTAAAACCCAGCCCTGCTAGCCCTCTCCTCATTAGGCGACATTCCTAACAAGCAGAAACCACCTAGTAACCAAGTCCTGTTGTTTCTAGCTCTGCAACATCTCCCATATACACCCCCTGCCACCATTCTGGTGCAGGTCCCCTTATCACCTCCCACCTGAACTATTACAATAACCTTCTGATTGATCTTCCTACCTCAAGTCTCTCCCCACTCACGTCTCTGCTCCACTCAGATATCAAAGTGATCACCCAAAATGCAGCACTGACCATGTCACTCCCTCTGCCCCCACTCAATAAACTCCAATGGCTCCCTATGACCTTCAAGATCAAATATAAAATCCTATTCATTTTTAAAACCCTTTATAACCTTGCCACTCCCACTTTTCCAGTCTTTTTACAGCTTATTCACTAATATTGGCTGCCTTGCACAAGACCTCTCCATCTCTTGACTGGGCATTTTTCACCGGCTGTCCACCATGCTGGAAGCTCTCTCCCTCTTGGCTTCCAGGGCTTCCTCAAATCTCAGCTAGAGTCCCACCTTCTACAATAAGCCCTTCCCAATCTTCCTTAATCTTAGTAGGGAAAGGAATAAACATTTATAGAGCACCTACTATGTGCTAGGCACTGTGCTAAGTGCTTTACATTATATCGTAACAATAAAAATGTTAATACTACATATTTAAATATATACTAATACAAAATATTATCTCATCTGATCCTCACAACAGCTCTACAAGGTAGGTCCTGTTATTATCTCCATTTTACAACTGAGGAAACTAAGGCAAAAAATAATACTGACCCAGGGTCATACAGCTAGTAAGTCATCTGAAGCTGAGTTTAGACTCAGGTCTTCCCAACTCCAAGCCCCGCACTCTATCCACTGCACCTAGATATCACTCTCTTAGTGGCTTCCTTCTCTTGTCTATCTCCAATTTAATCTGTACAAACCTTGTTTCTTATGTAGTTATTTGCATATTGTCTCCGCCATTAAATTGTGAGCTCCTTGAATACAATCTCTGATTTTTGCATTTCTTTGCATCCCCAAGGCTTAGCACTGTGCCGGGCACATAGTAGGTGCTTAATAAATGCTTACTGACTTTACCACCACCACCATTCCCAGGGCTTTTCCTACAGTGAGTGCTCAATGGTTAATCAGTTGAAGCTGCCTGCCCCAACTTAACTGACTTTCTCTGGGGTAAAACATCCCTTAGGATCTTGGCTCCAGAGCCAGAAGGGATGCCAGAGGCGATCTAGTCCCACCTCCATTTTACAGATGAGGAATTGTGGCCCAGGAAGTTAAAGTGACTTCTTAGGCTCCCTACCTGCCAGCCTGAATAATGGGGATGAAGGAAGGTGGTGGCAATCTTCCTTTTTTAGCAATGGGTATACCTAGACAACTTCAAAGATCAGACCTACCAGACCTCAGGAGAAGGCAAGTGGTAGTAGGAGGGGCTGAATGTGGCAAGCCCTAAAGGGCTTTGAAGGATTGAGGTGGAAGGTCTTAGTCCCATGGAGCAGCAGCTCAGTGCAAGGTCTGCCTTTTGGCAGAGATGGCAGGCTGAGACTGGCCCCTGGCTGGAACTACCTTGAACCTCCTCTCTCTCCTCCTCTTCCAACCTGGCAACACACATTCACACTTTAAAAGGCCTCCTAGAATTGGAAGATATTGCTCATTCCCTCGCAGGTTAATGACTTCAGCCTGAAATGTTAAGCTAGCATGACTTGGATAGCACCAGGGATCACAGAGAACAAGGAACAGAATCTACTTACTTGGCATGGCATGCCAAACTGAGAGCCAGGAACTGGCAGGCTACCAGCTCAAATCAATCTCAGAGAACTGAAAATCATCAGAGAATTTCCTTGGCCAATCCACTTGTCTTTCTACTTCTGACAAGCTCTTTGGGGCCTTCTCTTTCTTGGCAGTGGGGAGAAAAAAAAAAATGGACATCTTGTCCCTGCCTCTCCTTGGGTGGTTTGTGAAGGACACTGGTTCTGGAGTAAGAAGCTAGGCCAAGGAAACAGCTGAAAGCTTCAGCCTCCAATAACTGGAACTGTTCTTCTCATTGTTGTTCATCCTTCATCTTTGAAGGACCAATGACATCATGGGTGATGTCTGGATTTGCACGTGAACTGGATTTAAGTGAGGCAGAGTCATCAGCCTCACTCTTTCTTCCAGAGTCCAGTGACAGGAAAAAGGTCAAGATGCCAAGATCATCCACTGCATCCTGGCCCATCCTCAGTTGTCTTGACTTTGTCCTTGAATTTTGGTTGGACAGAAGGAACCTCATAGGTCCTCCCTCTCACTCCAGAGCAGAAATTTTCTGTAGGTTCTGCCAAGTGATCATTGAGCTTCTGCTTGAAAACTGCCAGCAACGATAGAGCTCACTGCTTCAAGGTAGTCCATCTCCTTAGGAGGAAGAAGAGCCCTGGTCCCTGGAGCAGAAAAGGGCTGAAATGATCCTCCACGACTCAGTGGGGAGAATAAAAAAAGGAAGTCCAGCAATCATCCACTCTACTTTCCTGACCCTCAAGAAGTCACATCACAGGCATCTGATCTCTTACTCAGCTTTTTATGCTCACCAAGAGGTGGGGACCTCTGTTTCCCCTTTTCTGAAGCCCAACTAGCCAGAACTAGAAAATAAAAAAATCTTTGAGGGCCTATCACCTATCAGGAAGAAAAACATAGGGCTTTGGAGCTTACAATTTAGATGATGAAATAAATACATGAAATAATTGGAGAACAGAACAAGACTGAGAACTGATTTATATAATAACATTTTATGGGTATCCAAAGCACTCACATACATTATCTTACCTCAGCCTCACAATTCTGGCAAGGTAAGTAGCACAACTACTTATATCCATTTTACAGGAAACTGAGTCTCAGAGAGTTTGTGGTACAGCATTGCCCAAAGTCACTCAGACTTTGGCAGATCAGCAGAGATAGGCTTGGCCTCAAGGTTAGAGCAGGAAGGGCTCCTCAGCAGGTTTCCCAAAGTAATCTGGACGCAGAGTACTTTTGGGATTGGCATATAAATGGTATAATTGAAGGGATACAGAAGAACCCTTGGACAAAAAATAAGGTCTGAGAAATTTTGCAGGAAAATTAAATTAATTTTTATTAAATCTATTTTAATCTATTATTAAATTTATTTTATATCAAATCTATATTATTGATATTAAATATCCATTTAAAAATTAAATCTATTTTTATGCTGGAAAAAATCATTATAATAAGTAGTTTTGTTATATATGTCACATTTTAAATTTTAGAGGAAAAAAATTATTAGTATCAAGTTTCTCCCCTGCCCCAATTCAACTTGCCCAGAACAGGCTTTTGCAAAGCAGTTTTTAAAATGCTGATCTAATTGAAGTCACTCATGTTACAGGAAATTTGGGTTCAGAGTAGGGCAGCCATTTGGACAAAGGTCACATACTCCCCTCAGTGGCCAAGGCAGGACTAAGACCTAGGTCTTCTGACTCCATCATATGATACTGTCTTCTCTACCAACAGCTATTGGCTACAGAAGTAGAAAAGGGGTCAGAGGAGACCAGTGATGGCTGGAGGGGTCAGGGAAGGCTTTGTGAAGAAGGCTGGGATTTAACCATGAGGAACAGCTTCTGAATAAAGGGGGAAGAAGGGGAGTAAGGCCAAAGAGGGGCAAAGGTGCAGAGGTGGGAATTAAATCTCAGCCCATCTCATCCAGCTCTGTCCTCACTCTTGTTGAATATGTTTTTAAGTGCCTTAAGGAGTGTCTGGGTGAGTATTCTGCCACCACAACTCCCTTGTGAATTCCCATCGGCAGCCCAATCTTTCTGTACATCCAGAGTAGGGCTCTGCCTGTGGATGGACAATGGAAGGGAAGGGGTGATGGTGTGGCACCATCTACTGGGGGGACCTGCAACCTGCAGGCACTGAAAGTGCAAATAAAAAATTCAGTGAAGTCTGTGTCCCAAGGTAGATGGGCACTCCCTCCCACACACAACACAAATATCCTTACTTGTTAAATATATGAGAAGCTTCTTTATTTCACCTTAATAAACTTTATACTCTGATTGCTTGCACACTGTACAAAATATTCACTTAGCTAAATAAATAAGACATAAAACATTATTGCAAACAGCATTTACACCCCCGAGGTAAGACCTCCTGGCCCAGGTAGGGGTGGCTCCTGAGATCCTGTGTCCCCATAGCACAGTGCATGCCTTCGGGGGCTGAGATAGGCAAGAGGCCTCGGGACAACACAATATGGGGTGGGGGGGAGATGAAGTCCCAGTACCAAGGGAAATAGACCTCAAGCTCATGCCTTAGAGATGGAACCAAGGCAGTGGAGCTGGTGAGAAGGGATGTAGTGGGCTGCATCCAGCCACAGCCAGGGAGAGGAGCAGAGGTGGGTGCTGAAGTGAGGAAAGCTGAAAGGGGCAGGTAAGCAAAGGCACTATGGGAGACATCACGTGAGACAAGAGCCTCTGGCAACCGGCTAAGTAATAGGCATCCGGAACCTGGCAATGCCGGGCTTGGCTCAACCAACAGGAAACCAGGCCCTGAAAGATCTAATATAGCAAGCCCACTGGGTAGCAAGCTAGCAACAGCCTCCTATTCTGGTAAATAAATAAGTTAAATGTTTATAGACCTGTGTACAGTGCTGGTGTTAAATACAGAAACCCAAGACCTTCCCAGTGGAATGAGGAAACGTTTCCAGGTATTGATCAAACTCAGGGTGGAAGGGGATGGTGGAGAAAGCAGCAGAAAGGACAGCAGTAGGGTCTGGGCAAAAGTCTCAGGGAAAAAAAAGGATTTTTTTTCACATTTTCCAATCCTGGGTTTGGGGGCAGGGGCGAGTTTCAGGCTGAAACAGCCTCAGGAGGAGAAACCCCCAAGGGCAGAGAAGAGGAGCATTAGACAGCTTTGTGAGGAGGTGTTGGGGTGGGAAGAGGAGAGGCTGGCCTCTTTGGTTTGTTCACCCTGCAAATTATCCCTTTTTCTCATCTGTCCTGACTCTGGCCCTTAGCTCTTATCCCTAAGGTCCCGTAGACTCATGCATTTCCCAGAGAGTTAACATGAAGTCTCCCAGTAAGTACGTTCTCCCACCACGTACTCAGCCCCAACTAGAAGCCAGAACTTAAGGCTTATTAGGTCAGCCAGGAAACCAGCCACGGCTATCCTGGGGCTCTCCAGTTCCTTTACTTCGAGAGAGGAAGAGGCACCAGGCTCCTGCTCATCAATCATGTCTTCTGCTAAGCACTTCACAACCACTGGGAGGCAGCAAAGAGCTGCCCCACCCCACGTTGGCAGGGACAGGAACGGATTTTGAGACCTACAGACTCCAAGTGGGGAGGGGAGGGAGAAATCCTAGGTGGGCGGAGCTGTGATTCTCAGAAGTTCCCAACCCAAGTCTTGGACCAGGTGGGAATGGGGAGGACAGATGCAGAAATGGAGGGAGGGAGAAAGATGTCAAAGAAGGGGAGAAGGTTCTGGCCCTTCTCCCAGGGTCAGGAGACACCTAGATGGAACACTTGGCCAAGTCACTTTTGTCAAATACCACCCGAGTGGCAAAATAGATGGCTATCACCCCAAGGCCTGCTGCTGACACCATGTAGGCTGTGACCGACTGGCTCAGCTGGACGATGGAGCCCATGAACAAAGATGGCGCCACCTGAGAGAGGAGGAAGGCACTATCCAGGATGGCCAAGTCCAAGCAGATGCCCCGGCCTGGGTTCCCAGGCTCAGCTGCCTCCCCAACTACCATCCTCACTGACACATCACAAGGGGAGGCCCCACACAGTGGGGGGTGAAGAAGGAAAGAGGCTCGTACTGGTAGCCCCTGAATGTCCATTAGGAAAGGGTCCCCCAGCTTTGGGGCCTGCCAAGAAGCTGGTGGTCAGGCTGTCACCACTGCTGTTGCTGCCAGTGTCCCCTCTGTATTTGGGTAGGAATACCTGGGAAAAGAGAAGAGGAGGAAAAAAAGAGATAATTAGTGTCAACCTAACCAGATAGGCCCAGAGACAACTCTCCCCCCCACACACACACACACCCAAAGAAGGATCAGCCTAGCATGAAAAAGATAGAAAATCAACTTCACAGAAATCAGACAGCAGGGCCCCAAAATACAACAAATAGGTCTTGAAAGAACTTATAGCTTGATTTTCAAAACAGGGAGGGGTTCCAGGGTGGCCAGAGTCTTTTTATGGGTCCTATTTCTTTTGGGGGAACTTCACAATGAGAATTTCTCCCTAAGGGGGCTGGGGGGTAGGATCTGGCTCTTCCTGTTAGGAAGGACCACCACACTCCCAGAACTCGACAGTGGCAAAGGAAAAGTGAGGCACAAGGAATACACACCTATTCTCACCCCAAGTTTGATCTGGCACAGCTGCCTAGTGTTATCCATATGAGAATGGAACAGAACCCTGGAGGAAAGGGGAAGCCTGAGGACTTTATAGGACAGGTAAGAAGACTGAAAAGCAAGAGAAAAAAAGGTCATAGCAAGATAGGGGCCTCAGGCCCTGACAGCTAAGTCCAGAAGCTATCATCCTACCCCTTTACAAACCCTTCCTAGTAAGCCAGGATCCAATCACCTTACCCTCAAGCTATTTATCAAAATACCAAGGAGTCCCAATTACCCCTCCCCCAGGGCTCATTTTTGGGATAAGCTCTGCTATGGATCCCCAAAACCTAGAGATCATCTTGGGTACAGGCTGTTCTTAGCGAGGGTCACCCCCAAACTTGGGCAACCTAGGTTGACACTAACTAGCACTGGAGACCTGCTATCAATTGATAGACTTCACAACAGGGCTTCCAATGGAGATGGGGGACACGGAAATAGACATTTGATAGCCTGGTTTTCTGGAGTCAGACCTCCTTCCATTCTATGAAAGAGGGCAAGTCAGATGAGCAGCCAGATGCTAGACTTCCACCTAGCTCCTGGGGCTGAGAAAGCCCTTCAATCAGCCCAGGGATGGAGGAGATATAACAAAGTAGCCAGGTGTCAATGGAAGGCGCTCTTTCACCAAGAATATCCTAACAGCATTTAACATCCACGTCTTCTTTTCCTTATTTCCCTTGTTTTAAGCTAGATGCTAGGAAAGGAAGTTTCAGCTACAAGCCAAAGTGGGGCAAATGGTGACAGCAGTGACCACAGGTACATACAGTGATTGGTATTCTTCACACAAGTACTCAGTCGGCTTGGGATATCTTCTATGTGTATCAGCCATCCCCAATCCCCCAAGACTGCTGCAAAGCCGACTTTAACATGTTCTACCACCACTCCAGAGAAAGCCTAAAATTTAGTAACACCAGGCTGGGGGTCACAAGATGATGATTACAAGAGGTGGGAGGAGCCTCAGAAATCTTCTAGCTCTGATCAGGGATCCCTTCTGCAACTGGAGGCAAGCGAGAGATAGAAGAGGGCCCTCCGGGAGCCAAAGGGACCCTCCCTTCACTCAACACAACCTTCTCTACCCACCAACCCCAATTCTCAAGGCTAGGCCACAATCTCACCACAAGAGGGCAGCCTGCCCAGTCAATGAGGGGAGAAGGGAAGCTGTCCACCTACCCCTTTCTACAAAGCAAATACTCATAGGTTGCCCTGTGCGGAGAAGTACATAGCAATGAAAGCGCCATGACAGCTGTCATGTTCCTTTTCAGTTCCTTCTCCCCCTCCCCCATACTAGCCTGGAAATTTTTTTTTTTTTGCAATGGGGTAGGGATGATGGAGAGGGGAAGGGGGGATGTGCTGGTGGAAGAGAAGGCTCAATGTAAGAGATGCAGATGACACTGGACCTGGGATTTCATCTGTGTAGAAATCTCTTCACCACTGCATTTGACGTATAGTCTTAGAAAACTGCCTTAGAAAACTTAGCCCCGACTGCCTCACCAAAAAGCAAAAGCAAAAACAGAATTATGTCATTCTACATGTCTTTTTTTTTTTTTTGAGGCAATCAGGGGTTAAGTGACTTGCCCCAGGGTCGCACAGCAAGTAAGTGTCAAGTGTCTGAAACCGAATTTGAACTCAGGTCCTCCTGACTCCAAGGGCTGGTGCTCTATCCGCTGTACCACCTAGCTGCCCCCAATTCTATATACCTCAGACAGATCTGAAACTGAGTCTATGTTCCCTGAGTCCACACTAATTTGTGACCATAAGGAGAAGCATTCTAAAGACTGCTAGAAGAGAGGGGGCCACAGACTTTGGCCACAAAAAACCTCACAAACTGAGTACCCCATGTGTTTATAATTGAGATTTGGCCATGTATTCATTTAAAAAGATCACAGATTTAGAGCTGGAAGGGACTTCAGAGGGGATTGAGTTTAACCTCCTTATTTTTACAAATGGGGAAACTGAGGCCCAGGGAGGTGAGTATGCCCCAGTCACATAGCTAGTAAGTGTCTAAGGCTTAGTTCTAACCCAGCTCTCTGACTCCAGAGGCACCAACCTTTCCTTTTTAACTCACTGCACCTACACTTGGGTTTTCTTGCTAAGGGATACGTTTCCCAGTTTCCCTCCACCTCGGCCTGAGAACTCCCCAGGGACAAGGCCTGGGCTTCTCCTACCCTCTGGACTCTCTCTCTTCTTTCCCTCCAGCAGTACAAGTCTGAACACAGGGACTGCTCAGTGTAGGGATGGGGAAAAGGGATGGAGGGGATGAAGGAAAGAAAAAAGGAAACAAGCATTTATTAAGTACCTACTGTATGTGCTAGGCGCTGTGTTAAGTGTTTCACAAATACTATCTCACATCATCCTCACGACAACCCTGAAGGCTAGATGCTATATCATTCCCATTTTACAAGTGAAGAAACTGAGGCAAACAGAGGTTAAGTGACTTGCCAAAGGTCATAGTTAGTAAGTAGCTGAGGTTGGATTTGAACTCAGGTCTTTCTAACTCCAGGCCCAGTATGTACTACTTAGCTGCCTCTAGCCCTGGGGCAAAGGCGCGCGCCCCCCCCCCCCCACCACCACCACCATTGAGGGATTAGTATGAGAAGGAGTAGGTGAGAAATGTCCCAACTTACAGCAGTGCCCAGACCATCGAAGGCATCAGGTAGGGGGTGCTGGGGGAGGCTCTGCAATGGGGGATGTCAAGGAGCAGAGGAGGACAACAGACGCAAGGAAAGAAGAAAGAATTAAAGGAAAAGAGGCAGAAAAACTGGGAAGAAAAGGTCAGAGCCTGCTGGGATTTCCCCACCCCTCAGAGCTTGGCCTCAGGGCTACAGGAGCTAAGCTATTAGTAGTTAAAACATCCACTGCTTTTTCTCCCCCCTGGCAGATGATGAAATCTACTTATCAAGCCTGACTGCTCCCTGTAGCAGATGAAGAAACAGAGGTCATTTGGTCCTTTCCTCTGCCTCCAAGCATGACTACGCCTCACCTGGTGCAGTGGTCTTCTCTGAGCATCTCCACTCCCTATTCCCCGACTGTGCCCATCCTTCACCCCACCCTACCCCCAGAGGAGGCAGGGTGCAGAAGGAGCCCAGCTCACCCGATTCTGAAGGATTTATAAGGGGGATTTTCCCCTGACAACCAAGATGTATCTCTAAATCCAACCTAAATTCTTCTGGATATAACACAAATTTCTCTGGACCCTCAGGAGATTTTTCCCTGGTGACTCTGGCATGGATAGAAGTTCTGGGTCAGGGGTCCCCTCTTCTTTCCTTTCCTCTTCCCTCCCACCATCCCAAACCCAGGTACCTGCTTCTCACGGTGGTAGAGTGAGGCCAAGGTATAAGGCAGTATCTGCAGCGCAGAGAAAGTGAAGCCTGTTAGGGCAGCTGAAGCAGTCACCACAGCCACACTCCGGGACAGGCACGTCACACCAGCAGCCACTGGGAAGGCGAACACGCTGGCCAGGTACACTGCCCGGGTCCCAAAGCGATGCACAAGTCGGTCCATACCCAGCGAAAAGAGTAAGGAGATCATACACTGCAGGAAGAGCCCCAGGCTCCCCATACGCACACCTTCCAGAAACAAGGCGGGGAAAGAAATGGAAAGTCACAACAGAATCCAGAGGTTACAACTTGGGAACACGGCCTCCCCTCTCCCCAGCCCAGGCTACTGTGTTCTGAGCCCTCTACCATCTTTGTGGATTGCATTCTGCAGTGTTGCCAAAGGTTAGGAAAAATGGGATTTATTCTGAAACCTCAAACAGAATGGCCCCTGACCTCTGGGGATAGGAGAATTGGGAGCACTGAGAAAACAATCCTGTTGTTGGCTTGGGGACATGTGATGCTGTCTTAAGACCTGGAAGCGAACTTTTAGGTAGAGTCAAATCCACTCATTTTACAGGTGAGAAGACAGAGGGCCAGAGAAGGGAAGTGAGGTATAAAGACCATCCCATATGAGGGAACTGAAGATAATTAAAGCAGAAAGAGGTTAACTGTGGGAGCTGAGTGAACTGCAGCAACTCCATCTCGTGACTCAATTCCAGGGTTAGCTCAGTTCCCTTTCTATTCAATTATGGGTCTAGTCCAATTTCTGTCCCATGAGAAAACTTTATTCAATTGTGGGAATTAGGAGAAACTTTTACTGCATTGTTTGAATCTAGCCCTGCGTGGCTGAGAAGCTGGACCACCTTCTCCCTGCTGCTCAGAGACCTTTCACTAAGGACCTACCTTATGCTGACCAGAAACCCAGTCAGATCCAAAGACTGATGCAAGGCATTTTTTCACAACTGCACATCTCAAGCAACCCTTAGGTCTTATTTGAAACCTGGCCTGGTACTGGCCAATCAGCTGCTGTTTCCATGTTCCTTTGACTGAATGCAGACAATCTGGGGAGTGGGACACCTTCTTTTCTGATTTTAGGGGACTGTACCTGTTCACTCTCTCCTCCCAACTTGGAAAGGCCCTAATCTTTTCTCCAATTAGAAATCAGATTACCTAATTTTTCTATTGTTTTCTTTTAATTAATTGGTCTTATTTGATTAATTGTTTTTAATGCATAAAAGCCTGTCTCCCCTTGCATTTGGGGTCTAGCGCTAAGTTGAGGAAGTCTGTCCTGATTTGTTATGCAATTGGCATGCACTGCTTAGTAAATCAATATGTTTGGAAGCTCCAACCTTGGCCTCCTCAGTCATTTCATCTTTCACCCACCACACAGAGACAGGGTCAAGAACTTCTCCCAATCTTAAAAAGTTGCTCCCCAAGGCAACGGGGCTCCTCACCTTCATCATAGTGTCGCCGGGCATCAGTGCCTGGCTCAGCCCTAGGCACACCTCGATACAGTCCTTCTCCTACAAAATCAGTGTAGAAGAGAGTGAACGTCATGAGTGCCATCCAGCTGCACAGCTCGGCCACAAAGAGCCGGCGCAAAGCCCGCGGCACTCGACAACAGAGCCTGTGGAGGTGGGGCAGCAGGGCAGCCAGGTTTCGGAATGCCAGGCGGGCCCGGCATGGGCAGCAACGAGAAGGTGCAGTGAGTACCGGGAGCCCCTCGGGGGGGTCCGATGAGCCCAGGGCTGCCTCCTCAGCCACCAGCAGCGTGGCCGCCACGCAGGTGAGGAAGATGAGGGTGAGCAGGCCAAACAGACACTCCTCCTGGGTGCCTAGGTAAGGGGCCAGGACACTGGCATCCCAGTCAATGGCCGGCAACAGGTATCCCAGGCAACCTCCCAGGCTGATCATGAAGGCGTACACGGAGAAGGCCTGGCGGCAATGGTCTGGGTCCCGGAAAAGGTCAGAGAGCAGGGCCTCCAGGGGGGTGAAGCACACCTGACCACAAAAGTCCAGCAGCCCCACACCCAGGATCAGCAGCGCCAGCTCCAGAGGCCGAGCATCTGGGTACACTAGCCCAGCCAGGCGACTTGCCCGAGGAATGAGAAAAAGACTCAACAGCACACCCAGGGACAGGGCCCAGATGAAGGGGCGGCGGCGTCCGTAGCGCCCACGCCAGTGGTCGCTGGCTGAGCCCAGGAAGGGGACAGATACCAGGCCCAGGACAGGGCCAATGCCTGCGGAGAGAGAACAGAGGAGGGGTCAGTGGAGACTGTCTTCATTAGCTTTCCCTCCCTCTCAGAAGTCCATGCAAGATGGTAAATATATATGCATGTATATATGTGTGTGTGTGTGCATTCACGTATATACGTATGTACATATACACACACACACACACATACACACATATATTCAGTTCATACAAAATGATGAAAAAAATATGCTGCTTGCCCATTCCTTTTGCAGCATTTATCTGCAGAGACAAACCTTCCACCCGTGCCTCACTAATGCCCAGGAAGTCGTGCATGCAATGATCCGAGGACGGCTGAGAAAATAATACGCACAAAGATCACAATAACAAAAAAAAAAACCCCACTCTTTGAGACCTTAGATGCAGGTTAGAGGAAATGACCTTGTTTAGAATCCTCCATTTCCTTCCAAACTGAGTTCAAGCAACACTGTCTACCTGAAGTCTTTCCTGACAGCCAAGCTGCCAGGGCAGCTCCCCACAAAGACAACCTCGTAGGGTGTGCTCTGCACAAACTCCCACGGACCTGTCTCCCTGATAGCACAGAGGCCCCGTGAGGGCAGAGTCTAACCTGGCACACGGCAGCTGCTTAACGCTGCTCGCTGACTGATCAGCTAACCCGTCTAAAGGACGAATGATGAAAGGCACTCTCCCCCAGACAACTGAGGTTGGAAATCAAATGGTGGAGAGCACCAAATACACACACTTCCATGTCTGGTAGCTCTGCTTACCTGTTTCTTTGTTATAAGGGAGAATTCTGGGCAGGGCTGGAGAGAGATTGTGTGAAGATTAAAAAAGGGGGAGGTGGGCGGTGAGGTGGCACAAGTGGATAGAGCACCAGCCCTAGAGTCAGGAGGACCTGAGTTCAAATCTGGCCTCAGACACATAACACTAGCTGTGTGACTTCTAGACAAGTCATTTAACCCCAATTACCTCACCGAAAAAAAAAAAAAAGGCTTCAGAAAAACATTTCACATGAGAAGGGAATGGTCTCAGAGAAACTTGGGAAGACTTGTATAAATGATGAAGAGGGAAGTGAGTAGAACCAGAGGAACAATTTATACAAAGACTTTAATATTCTAAAATCAAACAACTTTTAAAGACTTAGGAACTTTCATCAACATCATAATAATGATCAACCAGGAGTCCACAGGACTAATGATCAAACAGACCAACCACTTCCTGCTAGAAAGGACAAAGGCTCAGAGGACAGACTCAAACCTAGCTTTTTTTTCCTTTGAGACGGGGATGTGGCCAATTCCACATGTTTGTAACAGAGGCAGGGCTTTCCCCCCTAAAATGGGGGAAACCCCAAAAGGGATGGAAGGGAGAAAAATTCAGATTTTTGTTGATCGAAAAAAAGTGAAATTAATTTTTAAAAATTTCACAACATAGGTGACTATCCTTCAATTAGGGAATGGCTGAACAAATCATGGACATCAATGTAACGGAATGTTACTGTTTTAAGAAACAATGGATATGATGAATAAGCATGGAAAGACTTTTATGGACTGATGCAGACCCAGGAAAACAACCCAAGTGCACAAGGACTGGAACATTTAGAATGTCAGCTCTCAGAGGGCAGGCAGGGATGGTGGTATTGTCTTTCTTTGTGTTCCCAGGACAATGCCTGGTACATAGTAATCAATTAATAAATGCTTGTTGATAAACAGTGTAAACAGAAATAATAGCAATAACAAAAGAATAAAAAACTAAATATTGTGAAGTAATAACTTGGTTCCAAAGAAAAGATATGAAAAGACATCCCCTACCACACTTGTTTGCAGAGATGAGGATCCATGGCATGGAAAGCTGCATATAACATCAGACCTTTCCAATGTGATATTTGGTTTTGCTGAAATTTTTTTCCCTTTTTTCCTTTTTAAAAATGCTTTATTATTAGAAATGATTCTCAGAAAGGAGAGGAGATAGGTTTTTGTAAAAATAAGATCACTAAAAAATGTGTTTAAAAAAATTACCCCCAAAAAGTTGATAAGGTAAAAAAAAAAATTCTTCACTTTCCCCAAGGGTCTTTTCCAAACTAGGATTACCCCTTGGCCACCACGGACATGATGGCATTCCTCGGCACTGCTCATCCACCAGACATGAGAACAGCATAAAATCTCCCTAGTTACCAGAAAATCTACTTCCTCCTCAGCAGGAAGACCAGATGTCCCTGTTCCCTCAAGGGTATACCCCTAGACTAGGTAGGGATACAAAGGCCCTGATGAACTTTGGGGATAGGAAGGGGTCAACAGAAGGGAGTAGAAAAAGATGTGAAAGGTGACTTACCCAGGACCATTGTCATAAACTTCTCTTCCACCCCAACTTCCAGCAACAAGGGAGGCACGTAGGTGATCCCTGCAGCCAGACAGACTTCTAGGCCAAAGGTCAGCAGATTGACCAGGAGGAGTTGGGTTTTCCGATGCCGTAGCAGCCGAGTTGTCCACAGCTTCTGGGCCATGGCCCTCCAGGAAAAATGTTGGGGAATATGGGAACTGTGAATCAGACGGCCCAGCAGGAACAAGGCTCAGCTATGCTCCAGGTCCCAAGACCTATCTTCTTGTGCTTGGCCACCAGCTGTCTCTGACTCACGCAGGAACCCTTCATCTCTACCATCACCCTGATTCAGGTTCGGTTTCCTGGACCACGCCAAGTGTCCTGTGGCAGAAAGACTCCTCGATGTGGGCACATCTTAGCAACTTTGATCCTAGGAGACAGACCAGCATACACATGGAGTATTAGACCTTGGGGGCAAACTTTTGATCATCTATACCAGGGAGTTCTTAAGTGATTTTTTTTTTCTGTATGTCATAGACACCTTGACCAGTCTGGTGAAGTCTATGGACCCCTTCTCAGAAAAATGTTTTTAAATGCATAAAATAAAATACATATGATTGTAAAGGAAACAAATTACATTAGAATTATCAAAGTGTTATTTTTTTTAAAGTTCACAGACTCCAAGTTAAGAATCTATAATCTATACCAAGTATTTTATTCCAGGCTGGCCTTCCTTGCCTCTTAGGCAGCAAGGTGATACAGGACAGTGCTGGGGCCGGAGTGAGGAAGACCAGAGTTCAAATCTGGCCTCAGACAGTTTATTAGCCATGTGACTCTGGGCAAATCACTTAACCTCTGTCTGCCTCAGTTTTCTCAACTATATCATAATAGCATCTATCTTGTAGGATTGCTGTGAGGGTTAAATGAAGCAATATTTGTGCCTGGCACATAGTAGTACTTAATAAATGCTTGTCCCTTTCCCTCCCCTCAGTGAACCGATTCCCAAGCACCTTCCTCACTATCCATTCATCCATGTGTCTGAAAATGCAGATATATTTCAATGTTAGCTTACGACCGACATCATTAGAAAGACAAATCAGCTCCCAAAACAAAAATCCTATAATATGTTCCACATTCAAAGAGAAATGGTTTGTCATTATTTTCTGGCTTGGATTTCCATTGGACAGCTCTTTCCCATCAATATGGGAAACAAGGCTATTGAACTCCCAGTTCCCCACACCCAGCTCCCCATCACCGTGTTCCTCCCCCACCCCTATCCCCAAGCTGCTCCATGGGTTTGGTGTGAACTCCCCCTAACCTTCAACCTCCCATCCCTTTGTACTTCCCAAAACTAGATTGCTTTGAAGCCCCTTCTGGCCAAATTTCTTATTTCTTTCACCCTAGCTGTGAACGCTTTTTTTGCCCTCCCTCAAAAGAAAAGGGTGTCCTGTTGAGTAATACAGAAAAGACTATGTTTTAGGGATGCCTTGATTTTAAACTTGTTGGTGAAACATCTTAAAATGTCTCTGAGGGAAGCTGTTTTTAATGAGGAAGAAACACTCCCACAATGAACTGTTTCAACTGTTCTGGGGCTGTTCCCAGGGGCTTGGTCTCAACCACACAACCTGGAAACACCTGTGATGCCCACATCCCCCTGAGTCTGGCACAGTGCCCTTCTCTCCCACCCAGTTCCTATTCGGACCTCAAACCACCAGCAGAACATTTGTTCTCTGAAGGAGGTCCCACTGAGGAATCCAAACATACTTTCCCCATACAAGCTCTGTGCCGAGTCATAGTTACTGGGCATCCACCACACACTGTATTGTATAGCACACAGCTTTCTGGAACAGGTGCCAGCTGTTTTATGATCAATGAAAAAGAAACCAGGAACACTGGGGAACCCAAAGGACTTAGATAGTAAAGTCTGAAGTGTGCCATCCTCCCCAGCTTGGGGCAGGGGGGCAGAAGTAAGGGGAAAGGGCACAGTTTCACATTCTTACTATCCTCCAGAATACCTGTCCTTCAAATCCCATTCCCTCCAAGAATCTTTCCCTCTGGACCTCACCAATCTAATTGGACCAATTCACCGAATTTTTACAGACTTGCCTAGACTCACCCAGATGGTAAATACATGAGCTAAAAATCAATTCCTTTGAAAGCCTGTGGACTGTGAAATCTGTACAAAACATCCGAGAGCTCATTTATCTCAGTTAATGCATTTATTTCCCCTAGCTAGACATGGTGACCGTCCCCAAGGATCTTCTTTCTCACTCTTCTGCATTCCCAAGTGAGGGGCATAGAGCTCGTGTTCCAAGATTCCCACAAGGAGAGAGCTGCCTACATGCGCCTCACTAACCCTAAATGGGGCCTCTATGACTAAAGCCCATGGACACAGGATTTTCTATCTGGAAAAGGCTTACAGATCACCTACCACAGTGCAATGCACACAAGCAGGCGCTTAAGGCTAGTTGGACTAGGACCGAAGCTCAACATATACAAACAGATCTCATTATCTTTCCATTAAAACTGCCTTTCCCTTGAACTTGAGGGCACCAGAGTCCTTACAGTTACCCAGGTTCACAGCCGCAAACTCATCCTTGACTCTGCAATCTCCCTTACTCCCCAGATCTCTACAATAATGAAATCTATCCTTTCTCTTTGGGCAGTTCAAATCTGGCCTCAGACACTTACTAGCTGTGTGACTTCGGGCAAGTCACTTAACCCAGTTTGCTTCAGTTCATCAATTTGTAAAATGAGCTGCAGAAGGAAATAGCAAATCATTTTAGTATCCTTGCTAAGAAAACCCCAAATGGGATCAAGAAAAGTCAGACACAACTGAACAAAAATCCTTTCTCTCCACCTTAGCTCAAGCCTTCAACTTTCACCTGAATTAACTGCAATATCTTCATGGGATTAGAGATTTAGAGGTGGAAGGGATCTCAGAGGCCATCTAGTTCAATAATCTCATTTTACAGATGAGGGAGAGAAGTACAAGAGGAGGGAGGAGGGGAGGGAAGAGAAAGGAGGGAGACAGAGAGAGACAGAGGGGAGGGGAGGCAGAGGGAAGAGAAAGGAGAGAGAGAGAGAACCTCTCCCTCTCTCCCCAATGTCTCTCTCTCCCTCTCTTTCTCTGGAGAGGCAGAGGGAAGAGGAGGGAGGGAGGGAGGGGGGGAGATTAAATGACTTGCCCAAAGTCACCTAGGTGGGTAAGTGACAAAGCCAAGACTCCTAACTTGGTATTTTTGTATCCCTCTCTAATCCATAGTTGCCAAAATTATATTCCTAAAGCAAGATCTCCAGTGTCCCCCTGCTGCCTCTCAGACAAACTACAAATTCCTTGGTCTGGTATTCAAAGCCCTTCAGTCTGGCACTAGCCTACCTTTCCTTTTCACTAACAGTTAATTTACCGTCCTCAGAAGTCACCATTCTACCTCCTACATCCAGGCTCTGCCCAGAGTCCCCTTTGTCTAGAATGCTCTCCCCTCCTTCCCTCTCTGCCTCTCAGAGTCTGGCTTCAATGCTACCTCCTATAGGAAGCCTCTCCTGACCATTTTAGAAGTTAATGCTCTCTTATCTGTGTAAATACCCATCCTTCCCCTTCCCAAAGGAATGGAAACTCCTTGAAGGCAAAGACTGTTTTTCATTTTTCTTTGTATCCCCCAGTGCCTAGCAAGGTGCCTCATAGAAAGCAGACGATTTTCTTTTTTGGAGGCAATCGGGTTAAGTGACTTGCCCGAGGTCACACAGCTAGTAATTGTCTGAGGCTGGATTTGAACTCAGGTCCTCCAGACTCCAGGGCAGGTGCTCTATCCCCTGCACCACCTAGCTGCCCCCGGAAAGTAAGTGATTAATGACTTTTGAATGAATGAACGCATGCTGGAACAAAGGGGCTATATAAACATCTAAGACTGGACTGTGTAATTACCACCAGTTCCCTTCCTACTCAGGAGCTTCACACCTCGAGGGGAGTCCTACCAATATCCAGGAAACTGGATGAGGGTGGGAAAGATTTGCCTCAGGTTACATCACTTGCCCAATGTCACTCGAGCAGCAAAGCAGATGTTCCCAAAGGAAGATGGGTATAACCACAGCACCCGAAAGGTTTTACTCTGGTTTCTCCATGCGCCCTGAGTAAGCATCATCACTATTCCGCCCCCATCCTCCCATCCCTCACTCAGCCCGTTCCCCCAGAGAGAGGAGGCAGGTTGTAGAAAGAGCCCAGCCTCCTCTGACCCAGGGGGTCCAGGCTCCAGGAAGCTGGAGTTCCCGCTCAGCTCCGCTGCCGCCGCCGCCACCCACCCCCACCTTCTACTCTGCCACGGGGAGGGACCAAGGGACTCACCTGTTTCACATTTCCCAGGGACTGACCCTCCCTGAGCAAACAGAAGCTCTGCCAACCTTAGCGCTACCCATGGCTCAGGCCCACCCCCTTCTAAACTCCCTGCTATTTAAAATAAATTGCACTTCTCCAGCAAACATTAATCATGCCACCTTCCTCCTTCTCTCCTGCTAGCTGCCAGCACCTCTCTGCATCCAGCCAGCTCCTTCCTCAGCCCTCCAAGGGGCTCCTGGGGCTAGGGGACAGGACCCTCCCCAGCCCAGCTCCCCAGGAAGCACAGGGGGAAGGGCAGGAGGTGTGAGAGGGAGAAGGGGGGGGTGCCCTCTTCTAACACAGAGCAGGCTACCTGCCTTCCCACTCGGGCATCCCTCCCCCACCCCCATGCTCTTTACCTAGTTCCCTGGGGATTGGGCCAGGTGAAGAGCTCATTGAAGAGTCAAGTAGAAAAGCAGCAGGCACAATCCTGGCCCTACTCTACCCCTCAACTCTTTGGTTGTCGGGGCCGCCCTCTCAATGTCTCCAAAGCCATGATTTTAGTTCCACTGGGATTTCTTTTACCATACCCTCAAGGCACTGGACACATTTCTCAGCCTAGGTACCCAGTCCCAGAAAAATCAAAGCCCTTTAGAAGGGCTAAGCCAATTGCAACTTTCTGACAACCTTAGAAGCAGCTTATCACTACCCCAAATCACTTTCTTTTCTCCTCTTCTTTTCTAATCTCCCCCAACTTTTTTTGCCAGCAAGAGTGCTAGACTTGTAAGTCAGGAAGACCAGAGTTCAAATCCTGCCGCTTATTCCCTGGACAAGTCATTTAATCTCTCTCAGCCTAGTGTTCTCATCTGAAAAAAAAAAATGAATGTGGGAAGGTGGGACTGGATGGCTCTTAATCTATGGGTTAGAGTACGAATTAACTAACTATTAACTAACTGTGGGACTTTGGCCAAGTCATTTGACTTTCTCAAGCCCCAATTTTTCTCATGTGGAAAAGGAAGAGGAATTTTAAAAAATGAAAGGAAAAGGTTAGCCCCTAGACAATAACCTGGAATCCTCCATGTACTCCTTTTTCAGGGAGTCAGTGAATTTGGAAGGGA